AGAGAGAGAGAGAGAGAGAGAGAGAGAGAGAGAGAGAGAGAGAGAGAGAGAGAGAGAGAGAGAGAGAGAGAGAGAGACCAATCTAACTAACTGCGCCAAAAAAAAGAAAAACCCGATAAAGTGTAGTTTGTTCCCATCAGTTTCATATGTGATCCATGGTCCATTGGGACCCTTTTTTGAACGACTACCACCAACCTGTCAAACCCTTCAGCCTCAACAGGTCTATCTCAGTATCTCAGGTATGTCCAATGCAAATGTTGAAAGCCAAAAAAAAAAAAAAAAGAGAGAGTCTTTCCAAGGCCAATGCATAGACTGCGTCAACAAGAGTTCACAGGTGAGCCTCAAATCCACCACTTCCCCCCCCCCCCTCCCCGCCCCCCGACAATACCCCCACCTCTTCTCATTTGTAAATATTTTTTTTCTTTTTTCCTTCATTTTTTGCGAGCGAAGCCGCAACAGGCACCCTTCAACCCGTCAAAGTAGTATAAACTTACTGTAAAGGTACTTAGAAGTTCAAGGCTTTAAGCATTGGAAACCAAAATGCTGAAGGATATGAAGATCTGGGAGTCGCACTTCTAATATAAACTCTGGACTAAAAGGTTGGTAACTGTTCACTTGATTCCCGAACACACTTGCTTGTGAGTACCTTCTCGCCTCCGTGCGCGGATGTCAGGAAGATCGAAAGCAGAGGAAAAGTGTCTGCTAGGGTTGGTAGTTGTTCAATTGATTCCCGGACCCACTTCCCGGATACACTTGCTTGTGAGTACCTTCTCGCCTCGATGTGTGGAGGTCAGGATAAGCAAAAGGGAAAGCGAATGTATCTGCTAGGGTTGGTAGTTGTTAAGTTGATTCCCAGGCACACTTTCTTGAGAGTACCTTCTCGCCTCCGTGCATGGAGATCAGGAAAACAAACACGACTTTCAGTCCAGATGCAGCCATAATGACCAGGCACCTACTTGGATGAAGATGGTAGTCTTTAGGGTAGGCACACTGCTTGTCATGAGAAATTCGAGTAGAGTGAGAATTTCCGAATCATTGATGTCTTGGGTGTGTGCCTCTTTAATGTGGATTATGGAATCATACAAACAATCGTTCCCAACTTCTCTCCATTGTTGTTGTATCAGCTCTCATTTCCTCGACTTAGCCAACACTTGCCACTGCGTCTGCGGACTGGGTATGAGCACATAGCAAGATTACGAAGATTGGGCACCTTTTTGATGTGGACTGTGCAAAGTGATTCTCACTGACATTGTTGAATCAACTTTCACATTTGTGATGTTGCAGACATTTGCGACTGCATATGCAGACTGGCTGAGCGCGGATAACAAGCTTGTGGTTATGGTTCTTCTTCTCAATGCAGCGCTTGTGGAGGTTCGCGATTCACACTAATACCATTCTGTTCCGACACTGAGTGAGGCCCTATTGTGCCCAGTCCCAGAGTCTTTGTACTTCATCATGTCGCAATCTTTGAAGAAGAGGTTCCATATCTATCATCTTTGTTGTCCCAGTCCCGTTCCCAGGGTCTGTGTACCTTATTATTGTCTTTGTTTTCTCCAGAGTTTGAAGTTTTACCTTTTGTTTTTTTTCTTTTGTTTTTTTCACACACAAGTTAGCCCCATCTATTCTGGGGGGTGGAACTCTGGTTGCTTATCACCGGCAAGCATGAAACAGTGTTCGGAAAAGAAGATTAAGAAGCAGCATCAGGTGCAAAGGCTCGGTGTCCCACCCCTGTTGCACTAGACGCTATGCAGATGGGGGGTTGGGGGCAGCTTGGTGGCGTGTGCCTGTCCTCTCCTCCCAGGGCTTGCAAAATGGTTGGGAAACCTCCATTCAAAACCATTTGTTCCATACCCTTTGTTACCACCTAAAAGCCTCGCTCCAGTGTTCAACATTTGAAATGTATCTGGATCTTTGCTGTTCTTGATACATTCAAAATGTCCGACCTGTACGAATGCATTATCGATGAAGAAGAAGAGGTTGCACACCCATGGTCTTTGTTTTGCCGATTCAACATAATCCTCTGTTTGTTGTCAAACTCCAAAGTAATCAATAGAATGTAGTCTGGATATTGTATAACAAACTGTGCCAACCATCGATGTATGTTATCCGCTCTTGCGGCCTTTGTTAATATGCTGGACCATCTCTGGCTGTGGATAATGTGGGGCATGTCGCCAGCCATTGACTGAACCCACAATTGGGCAAGAAAGGACGGCTGCTCTGTACAGCCTCAAAGGGTAAAGCTACCCGAGCTGCCAGGGTCTCTTTGCTTGTTGGGTAAGCCGGGTCCAATTTTACCTTCTGCATACATGTTGTACCACCAACAATCAACTGACCTCCAATGTGTAGCCAGCAACAGACCAACAGGTTGACCCTGAGGCACCTACCTCTGTATTTTGAAGGCTTGCTTCCTCCCTCTTTCCGATTATTATGAATTTGAAACCACTACCTGAATGGAAAGAAGTCCACATGCTGACTGAAAAATGCAGCCGGATCTTGCAGCCATCAGCACCATCATTGTAATGAACCCAGTCTTATCATCCAATCATGTCACAGATACACAATGTTGTACAGTGTCGTGAAATAATCAAATCCAATAAGTCCATCAGTTCTAAGTAGTTGAAGTAAATGTTTCCTCATTACCACACGAGTCTCAAAGTCCACAGTATCCAGAAGAGAGGAGGGGAGAACAGACAGTTGGAAAGAGAAGTGTAACACAGCAATTAAGCCCCTCTTCTCCTTCAGGCTCCCCACCTCTGCCACATCGGCAATCAGCACTCAATGTGCCACGTCAGCATTTTGCACTCAATGTGCCACATCAGCATTCTACACTAAATGTGCCACGTCAGCATTCCACACTCAATGTGCCACGTCGGCAAACTGAACTCAAGGAGACACGTGGACGATTGTGGAAGCAGCCCTTGCAGATAAATGATCTCCAACAGCAAGCAGAATCGGCAGCCACTTCACATCTGAAGAAATCAGGTGCGTACGCACGACAACTCACATCACCCACGCTCTTTCCCTCCCTCTCCTCATTCCGTCGTCGCCATCTATGGTCGCGGCCGTGGCCGTTCTCTCCCTCTCTCTACACTACGATATCTGGCCGGTGCCCATGAAGCAGCCTGGCGCCAGCACTCCCTCTCAAGTCTCACGTGCAGCGTCATAGCCACAAGCAACTCGCAGGACTGGATGCCCGAACAGTGGCGAGGTCAACCTTTTGTAGCATCGACTCACGCTGTCCAGAGTCAGTGTCGGTCCATGTGTGGGCCCGCATCATCCCTTCAGTTTGGACTCCTCTAGGCCTGAATCTTCCGGAACCTGCAGACAACGGTTAGATCATTCCAGCTCAGCAGCCATGAAATCGTGGGTGTTGACTTCGACTTCTCGGATCTGGGCCTGGGTCCACGAGTTGACTGTTGACTTTTCGGTCAACTGTCAGCCTGGGCCATTTTCAAGGCTTGTTTGACCCCTCTTTTTTTAGGCCTGCCCGTTTGTGCTCGTCTGTGGGCGCGTCGGGAGCCCAGCGGCTCAATTTGGCACACGAGTTACAGCATTCCACCCTGCCTGATTTCAAGTTCCATCGCAGGAATTTCTTTTCAGGCAGTCTGTTCTCAGTCTTCTCTCGTATCCATTAATGATGTCGGGGGCTCTCTTTTGCTGAACCATCGAGCTTCAGTTGGCGGTTGACTAGGAAACTTTACCTTATACTGTTTTTGAGGTTTCCTGTAGTTCCATTGGAGGAAAACCCATGCTCAAGTATCTTCTCAACTTGGTACCCGCCATCCATTGAAGGTGGAAAAGAGGACGGTCTGTTTGGAAATTCCTGTCCTTCATCGTAGGGTAACAACTTCCCAGGGTCCATGGTAGACGGGTAGCAGTTTATGCAAGACATTTTCCTCAAGTGAGAATTCGTTAGGTTTCATCCAAACCATATCTCCTTCTTTCAATTGCGCAGGCCTTTTATGTTTGTTTGCCTGTTCAATCTTTTTCTCTTGGGCTTTCTTTATATTCTCTTTTGCTTTCTGAATGTCTTGCTCATAGAGAACTGCAAATTCTCGTGTTCCTGGGGGAAGCTTTTGGATTTGGTCCCTTGTTAGGAAGTCAATCGGTCTGAGAGGTTGCCAACCTGTATGCAGTGCATTAGGCATGCGTCCTGCTGTTACTATATGCACTGGCAATCTTGGGTAGGTTCTCATCCCAGTCAATCTGGTCAGGGTGCACGTACGTACGCAGGAGCTGCTGGCACAACTTATTCATTTGTTCAGTTTGACCATTGGTTTCACGATGTCGTCCTGAGGACATAGGCAGTCTGGTGCCATAAGCTTTCATCAGTTCTTGCCATTGCTCGCTTGTAAATCGCTCATCTCTGTTAGATACAATAGTCTTGGGAAATCCATATTCAGAAACTCATGGCATCTGAAACTTTTGAATTACAAACTCAGTTCTTGCTTCAGCGGGCAAAGGAACAAATATAGGGTACTTAGAGATTCGATCCACGATTACCAGTACCTGATTGTTTCCATTTCGACTCTTCGTTAAGCTCATGAAGTCGATGGAAATAGACTCTCCTGGTCTTTCGGGAATTGGTAGTGGTCTCAGTCGTCCCAAGGGACTCTCGTAGGATGGCTTGTTGCAGTGGCACACAAGACAAGTTCTCATGTACGTTCATGTGTCGTTTTTCATTCCTTGCCAAACAAAATGTTGTTGGACATCGGCAAAAGTTTTTTTTAACCCAAAGTGTCTTTCAGTATCATAGCACTCACCAAGAATTAGACTCTTTATAGGTTCATTATGTGGAACACATATTCTTTGTTCATTACCATCAATGAAGAAAAGTATTCCATCAACCATTCAATAATCAGGGAAAGGTTTAGGATTAGATTTCAGATTATCTATAATAGGGCGCCAGATCTGGTCAGTGGTGTATCCTTTTCTAATCTTATTCTTCAGTTCGTTTCCGATGTCTAAGTAGGTAACAATGGTTCCAAAGAAGTCACTTCGTCTTGAGAGAGCGTCAACTACCAGTTGTTTTTTTTCTTCTTTTTTTTTTTTTAATAATGGGAACAAGGCTCCAATCTATTCGTGGGGAGCAGCGCGTGCTGGGAACCGGGCCCAGCGTCCCATAGGAAAATTTTACATAGAGTTTGAAAGTTGAGTTACCGGGGCCATTACCCGGCTTGGCTAAGAAAAATTGGGGCTACTTAGGAAATTACTACGACAGACTTCAGAATCAGACAAAATTCAAAAACCGACTCAGGAACCCCCCATCCATCCCCTTGACCTCACTCTGGCAAGACTTACTGCAGCAGAGCCACCATCTCCGCTGTTGCTGTACCCTATTTCCATCCTACCAGCTAGCCCCTTCACTAGTAGGACGCTTGATATCCCACATTTTGTTTCATTTCACACGAATAAATTTAKTCAATTATCATTCATTGATTATATCAATTATATATAGAAAATCAAATATAAACAAAATTCATTCTTTACTTCATCAACATAAAGAATACCTCTATTGGCTTTAGCCAACAATCCGGGTTCAAAAGCTTTAATTCCTTCTGTTAATCATCTTTGTTTTTGAAGGCCCCACTCACCCTTTTTTGTTTTTTGAACAAAATCATATGCGCAATTCGGAAAAGGACTTAGAGACCACCAATCAGTCCCCTGTACCCCACTCTGGCAAGGCTTACTGCAGCAGAGCCACCATCTCCGCTGCTGCTATACCCTATTCCCATCCTACCAGCTGGCCTCCTCACTAGTAGGACACGTGATATCCTTTTCTCACTCGCCTCGATCTCGTTTTTTGCGATACCGGGGCCATTACCCTGCTTCAGCTGAGGAAACGTCTGAGAACACTTACAGTGATTCAGGAAGTATGAAAGTAGACCGCAGAGGTCCGACAAATGTTCCAAAACCCTCGAAATCCCTAGCAAAACATTCCAAAGTTCTCCAACACTGTCTTACTCCCTGCCGAGCTCTTCCAGACTTCACACCCCCACATCCTGCTGGGTTACAGGGCAACACAACTCACCCCAGCTCCGACCAGCGTCGTCCCAGCAGCAACCTTTGGTTGTCCCGTGGAGTGCCCACCCCAAAGCATCCCCAGATCTCTCTACCAGGCCTGACGCTCCTGCATCAGCAGGTTACAGGGCAACACCCCAGCACCGACCATCGTCGTTCTGACATCGAACAGCCGCAGATCACTAAGTATTACAACATCGAGGCCACCTAAGACGAGTTGCTAGGAATCCCAAGAGTCCTAAAACATTCTCAAGGCCACCAAACAGCCCACGTTTTTTCAAGAGCATATCAGAAAATAAAAAAGAACTATGAAAAACAGAAAGACGTAAATCAGGAATAGAGCCACCAAC